CTACTACTACTACTACTACTACTACTACTACTACTACTACTACTACTACTACTACTACTACTACTACTACTACTACTACTACTAGTACTACTACTAGTACTACTACTACTACTACTACTAGTACTACTACTAGTACTACTACTACTACTACTACTAGTACTACTACCAGATTGAAGAATGGGGATACTAGTACTACTACTACTACTAGTAGTACTACTTCTACAACATCACACCTAGTACTAAGTACTAGTAGTAGCTATTACTACTAGTAGTAGGATCTACATACAGTAATTATCCCTTACTATTAAAATGAAGTTCAATTGTTGTTTTACATTTTGTAGTAGTACTATTAGTCGTATGTACGTACTACTAGTCTATCCTCACAAAATACTACGGTAGATTGATCTCCCCCTTATTTACATCCCCTAACATTTTGTCCCAAAATTACAGTAAAATGGAACTTGTGAATGAAAGAATCTTACTCCGTGCAGGGCTTGCGCAATGTCGTGGGAAAATGATGACGTACGATGACGTATGTGCTACCGTATGGTATTGAAAAACACTTCCATGCTGTGGGTCATCATTCATCACGGAAATGGGAACTCCATGTGTTTTTCTCCATCCCCCCCCTTATGGATTCTTATTCGTTCTTTACGCGTTGTACCGGTACTGCAATGAACGTAACACATTAAGGTGTGTCCGTGATTTCCCCTGTACCAGTAATCAAAGTGCGTTTACGACATCTCTGATTGGTGTTCTCTCTGCCAGGCCTTGGATCTCGCCTGATAGTCATCGACAACAGCGATACACGATAATCAAASATCATCTAACGACCAGCAAGCAACTGGGAAGTACAGTACGTCTAATAGTCTACCATCACACTCATAATAYAAGTGTCAAAATGAAGTTTTCCGCTGCTGTTTCCTTTTTGTGTCTCGCATCTGCCTCGGCATTTGCTCCAAACAGAGTAAAGACGTCCGTAAGTTTACTTCGGAACTGGGAGGTTGRCAAACATGACCAAACATGTTTCAAGTCCACAAAGAATTTGAAAACTGCAAACAGCGTCTCGAGTTCTTCTTCGTAGCGATTTAGAGATTTACGGGACGGAGGTTTGACCCAAAAGGGAACRAAAGTGGTTCTCGTAAAATAGTTTGAGTTGATCATCTAACCTGTTTCTTTCGATGTGAATGATCTGTCACTGTGGGATTCATGTCGGCATTGGGGGATCTAGAGTACWAGATTGTACGAAACTGCCGACGCAAACCAAAACGTTTTCGGAACCAAGTCGTTGGATTTCCAAGGAAATGAMAATGATGATTCTTTCAAGACTGTCCGACTTCGAGATCGTTTGAACGAGGCCGATATCGAACGGCGTAAGGAAGAGGATGAAGCTGCTGCACGTGAACGCGCTGCTGAGATCGCACGGGAAGAGCGCCTTGCCAAAATCGCRTACATGGAGAACATGGCTGACGATACACCCGCCGGAACTGGTGAGTTAGGAATTTAATTGCTACACAACTTARAGAGTGGATTGGCGGTAATTCCGATTTKTGTGAATTTGCTCTGTTTATACTAACTGAGCGTGTTTCTTGCCCATACCCAACGAACACAGTTGACGAGTTCATGTTCAAAGAGGGTGTCCAGGCTCAGCTYGACAAACTTGACCAGGAACTTGTTGGTCTGATCCCCGTCAAGAAGCGTGTTAAGGAAATTGCCGCTTTGTTGGTTCTTGACAAAATGAGACGCAAGCTTGGTTTCGAGACTGCTGTTCCTTCGCTTCACATGTGCTTCACTGGAGCCCCTGGTACCGGTAAGACCACTGTCGCCGTTCGAATGGGTCAAATTCTTGCGAAGATGGGATACTCCCGTCAAGGGCACGTYGTCCTCGCCACTCGTGATGATCTTGTCGGTCAATACGTTGGCCACACCGCCCCTAAGACAAAGGAGATGATCAAAAAGGCTATGGGAGGTGTTTTGTTGGTCGATGAGGCTTACTACCTCTACAATGCAGCCAACGACCGTGATTACGGTCAAGAATCTATCGAAATTCTTCTTAATGTCATGGAAAACCAACAAGATGATCTTGTGGTTGCTCTTGCCGGATACAAAGACCGCATGGACACATTCTTCTCTTACATCCCAGGTATGATGTCCCGTATCGGAAACCACATTGATTTCCCTAACTACAGTGCCGACGAACTTGTCGAAATTGCTGCTGTCATGGCCCACCAATTGGAATATGATATCGACGATGATGCCTACCCTGTATTYAAGGATTACATTTCGAGACGTATGGAACTGCCTTTCTTCTCAAATGCTCGTACTGTGAGAAATGCTATGGATCGCGCCCGAATGAACTCTGCTATCCGAACTTTCGAGCGATTCGCCATCAATGGAGAAAACGGTGGAGTGTGCTCCGTCCACGACCTGAAGGCAATCCAAGCGACTGACTTCCAAATTCTACTTGACGATATCGTAAACGCCGATACGGACAAACGCATTTTCGCCTAAACACGGTCAATGTACCGTATACAAAAAGCAAAAAGCTGATTAGGTTAATCTAGTCCTAAAATTTCTTTCCTCTYTCAATAATTTTTAATTTCGATTGCAGACAGAAGCACTCTTTACACACTTTCACAGCATCCTATCTGTTTTGAATTATTACGGAGTATGATATATGACAGTACCAATACTAGTACTACTCATTGCTAGTTGTAGAGAGTGGAATCTCGTTATGATGAAACAATGCCTACTACTATCATGGAAGTGCAGGGTCCAAGAGCAATTATTCTAATTTGGAAAATACTGCATTTTCCCTGCTGTTGTTAGTACCACCATTATAATAGCTACAMTATTATACCTACTAATAGTAGCAGTACTATTAATAGTATTACTAGTAGTTTATCTAGTATTGAGAAAAAATATTACTAGTACTAGACAAGAACAAGAACAACAAGCAAGAACAAGAATACTTCTACTACCTGCTGGTGGTGGTACCAACAAAACAATAAGAATCACCTCCTCTGTTGAATACTACAAAGAAGAAATGCTCAGCAGCATTAGCTAGTAATAGTAGCTACCACTAGTACTAGTAGTACTAGCAACAGTGCAAGAATGAAAGTTTCTGATAGTACTTATCTCGACAGTAATCATTGCTGGTGGTGCCTTGAGAACAACAAGAACAATAGTAAACATTCTTCTTAACAAGAACTCATGACAGTGACTACTACTAGTAGTACTAGTACTACTACTAGCAGAACAAGTACCACTAGTACTACTACTAGTACTAGTACTACTACTAGTACTACGTCACACAAACCGGATCTATGGTACTGCGCGTTTCACGCGGTTGACACCGTCGAAGTTTCAGGGTCAACCCGTAGTCTTTCGTGATTGGATAATAGTTTACAAAATCCC